TCCGGCGGCTGCTTAAATCACTTGTTTAACTTTTAAATGTTGCACATTTCTACAAAATGCACGTAGTCACTTTCGAATACTGTATTCTTTTCTATGCAAGTGCCACTACACATTAACATTAATTAAGTATATTTTGTAGCGCGTTGGCATTTTAGTGGCTGCAACGCCAGCAGCAGCAAATGTGGCAAGCAGCGTTTATGCAAATTGCAGTGTATTTTATAATTGGATTCAGCTGATTGCTGTATTTAAAAGCTAAAGTGGCTACACTTAAAAAATTAGCGCAATAAAAGTCTTCACAATGCGTTGGAAAAATTCAGCACAGCACGCGGAAGCCTGTAGAATAGCTTAAAGCGATATCGCTGCACAATAAAATATCTTATTGTAGACTATTTGGCCCGCTGCGCTAAGAGTTAGATGAAGCTAAAACTATTAGTTGTTCATAACAGCATTAAGTTATCAAAAGCATGAATTGATCAAGCGAAATCTCTCCGAATGTGAAATATATTAAGTCACATTATGAGAAGCCTAAAGTAAATTACTTCACCACTATTCGACGGGGGGTTCTGCCACGTGTTTGACATTTATTTTAAATAAAAACTTTATACCCGTAGTCCCCTACTTTAACACTTATCAGATATTGTGGAGAAAACAGGTACAATTATGAGTCTTTACGAGCTTAATTGCACTACGTTATAATCGCAAATTCGGTCGAATCAATTCAATTACGCATGTTGCCTTTGCCAAAATAACCCAGCACTTTCACATGTGTCACGCACACAAAAGCGAGCAAGAAGCACACATTTCAAGTTCTGGCAGACTATTCTAAAGTAATTTCAACAGCTGCAGTGTTAGCCACAAACAAATGCTTTCGATTAAAAGTTAAGCAAAAAACATGCCCATGCAACTTTTACAATGAAAATGTCCTTGCAACATAATTACGTTTAAAGGAATTTCTTTGCATGCTCACCAACACACATATAACCACTAAAGTTTTATGCCGCCAACATTGCAAGTAAGCAAATATTTAGTAGTTGAAGTGTAAGAAAACAAGCAAGGAAAACTTGCAGCATTACTGGCTGCACACAGGCAGCTCCGCAAGAGCTCAGTGCGCCACGTCGTATACGTACTGCTTCATTTGGGCAAGCATAGCTGGTTGGGGAGAAGTGGGAACAAATGCTTGCGGCACCTTAATACACTCTTGCGCTGATGATGGCGGCAAAAGCTAGAAAACTTAAATGCACGTGCCAAGGTGCATAAAGCATTGTTGAAGAGCCCTAGAACCCTACACGCAGCTGAGCCACCTACCTCAAGCACACACATACCTAAGCCACGGCAGGATTGGGTGCGGGTGCGGGTGCAGGTGCATATAATGCATAACGCCGCAGTGGAGGCAAACAGTGACAAAGTAGTTGATGGTTAGTGTCTTAATTTCATTTGAAAGTTGGCAGCTGACACATATGCACACACGCAGAGGCGTGGCGCTGCTGCTAACTTTTCCTACATGTGTTGTAATTTGTTTGCTGCCTCACTTTTGCTGCCACAATATTTTTTCGCTTAGTTGGGTAAAGTTATTTGCGTTAGCCAATAAAAAATGACTTGTCGTAACAAAGTTTCTGCAGAATCACCAAATGTGAGTATGATTTTCTATCGTTCTTTCTTCTTATGTAATCTGTGTGTGGAGCATATAGGTATATACCTATATGTAAGCGCAAGTGAAGAATAAAGGATTTCCTTCACGTTCTTAAATTACCAACTTACACAATTTTCATTATGTGAAGAACTTAAAAAATTATTTGTATTCATAATGGTTAGATATGAGCTATGTTTGCCTAAGCAATTACTAAGGCGTGTTTAGTTGTTATGCCTCCATTTGTGGCTGTTATGTGGCGGGTTTGATATGTTATTGTTATGCAAATACTTCTTGTTAGTAGAAGCACGACTTTCAGTTCGCCCGAATCAGTTTATTATCGGTGATTTAATCGTTCAACCATTGCTTTTGTTTGCCGCTGATTTTTATCTCAAAATTAAGTCATTAAGTTGTCGGAATGTGAAATCCGATATTAACTGTTAAATATGTACTATGTGTGAATGCGAAGTGATGTGCATATCATTAATTAAGCTGTCCAATAAAATTTGTAAAAAAAAATATTTAGTGACATGATTAAATGTGTAGATATGTATTTGGAAAAGTATTAAAGTATTTGTATTGTATTGAGAGGACAGCAGGTTTGATGGAACGTGTCTGCAGATGATTGACGACTGGCATTGGAATGAGCGTAAATCGTTGGCACTTGCTGAATGAACTCGTTTAGTTTTTTATAGTAAAACGTATGTATGTAGTCGTGCTGACATTTGTAAACATAAAAAATATATGGAAGATAAAATAATGGTCGTATAGTTATCGAAAAGTAGCCTCATACGAGTTTTCTATTCAACTTTGTTAATGACGACAACATCGAAAAAGCTAATAAAATCGTCTTATGGTTTGACTCAACATACTTTGCTTACGAAGCGTGTTGATATGAGACTCGTAGCAAAAGAATCTTTGCAAAAACGACGTCGAGAAAAGTTTGAAAACCCTACATTCAGCGAACGCATATTTACTGGATTTTGGTGACGAGACGTAGGTTTATGAATTTGAGGTGGAAACTGTCCAACAATCAAGCGAATGGCGCTCAAGAAATGAGTCGGAACCGAAAAAGGCAAAATTGATTTTAAGCACTGAGGCTCGGCTTAGGAGCTTGTTTTGCAGGCGATAACAAAGATTTGTAGATAATAAAATAAATGAAAATTAATTTGTTCGTAAGTTCGGCTAAAATTTAATATAAGGGGCCAAAACTAAAACTTAGAAAAATAAAACTATTAATTCTACATATCAAAAAGTACTGGTCAGATTTTCAAAATTCGATTCGTGCACTAATTTTTGAGTTCAAAAACCAGAAACATACTTCTAAACTTTGTGATGGAATACGTGAGATGTTTGGTGCAAAATATTTCGAAAAAACCAACATTTTTAATTTTTATTCCTAATCTATGCTTGTTCAGGATTGATAATGTCAAAATATTGTCCACAAGTCTAGAACTGAGAGAGCTGAGAAGTGGAAAATATTTGCGAGAATAAACCAATTATGAAAGACTAGACAAATAGTAACTACCGTATATCATTTAAAGGGACACATTTTTTACTTAAACTTGTGCACTGTCGTCGATTAAAGCAGACAATCTTCAAATTTATGTGTAAAATAGAAGTATAAGTGTTTTCAGTTAAAGTAGGCTAAGAAATATATTTCAACTCAGCTAAAGCAGTAGCCATATTCGATCATAAACATTTTGCAATATTTAGCTTTGTATATTGATTTTGAATTTGTATTAATGCGAGCAGTTAAGTTAAGTTTCATATATATTCGCATATTTGTGCTTCGAATTAATCTCAGGTGTGCACTTAAGTAATTCATTAACCACTTACAAACCTACATACCAGGTAATTGGCGTTCGGGGCAGACACACGTGTGTCTGTGCCGAGTATTTGCATATATTTATGATTTAATGCATATGCTCCCGCTTTTCGAACATAAGAGCTGATATATGAACATGTCATACTTATAAGCATATACGTAAATATGAGGTTGCTTATTTATGAGCTTATTCAAGTTTCTCATTAAAGGCATATCCCTGAGGGCCGCCAAGTGATTTGTCGTGTATTTGCTTTGGTTTGTTTGCGCTAAATATGTAGAAAGTGTTTGTTTGTAGTCAGACATTTAAATATTCCCTGAGTTGCGTTATTTTGTTTAAAATCAAAGTGTCTTTGGTGTGAAAGCTTTCTTATCACCCATTATATGGGATGGTGCTATATTATTGTATAATCGCATTTAAAATTTCGCAGTTTACAGAGCACAAATTGTAAACTATAACTCATATGTTTTGCAAGTCAATACTATTTCACATCTTTTTTCTTTTGTACTCGTATTAGTCAAACATTTTGTGCCTTTTTTACTTCTGAGAGAAAAATGTAATACAAATTTCTCTAAACGTGGGAAGATCAAATGGAGGCGTGGAGGAAATTTGGCTGACATTTTGTTCAAATTAGGAATGTTATAAAATTATCTGCATAACAAAAACACAGACTAAATGTGAGTATTTTTTTTGACTTTAACATCATGTCGTTCTTAATAGTAGCCTATATAATAGGGTGGAGCAAAAATAAAATTTTAATTTCGAGTAAAAAAATTTTTTTGACAAGAAAAAATGATTTTTGGTGTAAACTCTTTACATTCATATAAAAATTACCGAATGTGACGGTTTTTGACTCAAAATTTATTTGACCGCTTAAGAAAAGCATTTTGTCGTTTAAGGCTTATTTTAAAACTCCAATAATGACCACAAAAATTTTTTTTAAGTTGATAACTTTTAATTTGCCAGAAAGAGGACTCTCCACAGCTTCTAAAACACCTTTCAAAAATGTTAATTCGAAATTTTGTTTTAAAACCGCCTCTAGATGTTAAAAAACAATTTTTTTTGTCCAAAAATTTTCTTATTTTATAATCTACAGATTTTACCCGCAGGCTAAGCAAAAAATTTTTTTTTTTTCACTCCACCCTACTGTATAATAATTTCTGTCAAACCACTAGATTTTAAAGAGCATATTTCGAGTGTTAAGTAAGATATCACTGTGAAACTAAACGGACATGTGAGATACAATGCAGTTACAGCTGTTATTACTCTAACGAACATTGATAATACATATATGCCGTAATAATCATTCCACACTCGTTCCCGCACCCGTACCAGCTCCATACTTGTTTACATATATACTTCCTTATTATTATGTGCTTATCCAACTGCAAGTCCAATTTGACTGCTAAAATAATTTGTCATATTTTCAACACCCGCTTAAATCATCATTTCGTAACGCCTAAATTTATGCCACAGATTTGAAATAACCTAAACCTTATGTTTGTATATACATACATACATGTCCATGCATATGTACGAGCACTCACCTGGTCTATCGAGTTCGTGTATCAGTTCGTCCGGTTCTAAATACGTAGCTGCCACCATAAATGTTGTACGCGTCAATTCCGCAGACCGCCAGTCACGTCCACCGTTTGTGAAGAGGACTAAACACACACCAAATAGCCACCACAGATAATATGTTGTCGCAGCTTGTGAGGCCGATCTGACGGTTTTCAGTATGTATGCGGCGCGCTGGCTTCCCTGCGTCGCAACTGCAGCCGCCGTCCCCGCCACCGAAACTTTCGCCGTCGCTGACGATGCGCAACCACGCGTTGACGATGAAGAGAATAACGGGGTTGTGGTCAATGCTGCTGTGCTGGGTGTGTGAAGTGATGCTTCTGTTGAATTGAATTTACTTGTGCTGGTGGTGTGGTTGCTACTACAATTGATATTGTTGCTTTTGCTGGTGGCGATGCATAGTGATGGCCACAGCCGCAAATGTCGCTGTTGTTGTTGCTGTTGCAGCTGGTGTGTGTAGCGCTGCTGCCGTCGGCCTTCATGTTGTGGATGTTGTTGATTAAAATGTTGCTGCCGTTTATCGTGCGCATTTGTCGGAAATAGCTGCTTATGTTGTTCGCCTTGTTGTTGCGCTTGCTCGACACAGCGCTTTGTTGTCGCACAATTTTGCTGGTGGTCATGTAAAAGCTGATGCTGGAGCTGCCGTTGATGCTGCTGCTGTTGATGGCATTGCTGCTGGTGGTGGTGGTGGTAGTGGTGGCAGTGTTGATGGTGTGGCACGTTGCTATGCTTGCGGTCGCGCTTATCAGTGTGCTGCACGCTGTGTGTTCGTTGGTGTAACGGTGTTTTCTGTTGCGTTGTACTTACGCTTATTTGTTCGCTGTTTTGCAGTCGTTGTAGTTCGCCAACGGCGCAGTTGATATTCTCGCGGCGATTTCTATTATTGTTTTTACACTTTTTATATTTACTATTTACGTAGTTTTTGCAGCCAGCAATATTGTTAACCGCCGTATTCATTTTTAATTTAGTCATTATATTTTTTCGTTGAAAAAGTTTTTCTCTGCGTTATTGTCGCTTTTGTTGGTGCCGCATGCGGCGTTGGCGTGCTCGTCGATTATTTCCTTCAAAACAAACAAACACTCATTCATTTATCGGTATATTTTCATGCTCCACTACGTTTGATTACACGCCGTAACCGTAACCGTACTGCACTTTCAGCGCGCTTTTTCCGCTTCTGCGGTTGCGCTTGTTTTGTGCAAATACTTTTTGCCAGCACAATGGCTGTCAATATATGTGTGTATGTATGTGTGGCGAGCAAATAATAAATTAATTTATTTGTGTTTGCATTTGAGTCTGTAATTGTCGCCATCATTGTCGTTGCATTTGTTTAGTTTATCATTGCCGCTCATTGCTGGCTTGTTTATTGTAAATTTGTTTGTTTTCGATTTACATTTTTTATTTTGCTTTAGTTGTTATTGTAAATACTTTTTACATTTTTATTGTAACATGTTTCGCTCTGCGGTCTGCCAACAAAAAATATTCAAATTGCTAAATTTTTTAAATTATTTGTGATTTCATATTTTGAATTTAAGCCTGCGGAGCGTGGTTTAAGTGTGGCTGTTAAAAATATTTATTTTTAGATTTAAAAGCACTTACATATATTAACAGAATAGTTAAAAATCCACTGGAAAAATATAAAAAAATAACTTTCATTCGCCAATGAATTCTAAAAATCCTTGGAAAAACCTAGAACACCAACTTATACGTTAAATCTACTCCTCACTGTTTGTTTCCTGCGATACGCGACTAGATTACTACTGTCTCTTCTACGAAAATTAAAAGGAGGGACACCGTTTGCTTAAATTGCGCCGCATGGTTTCGCTTGTAAGCGTTTTCATTCATAACTGTTCTACACACACACACACGCGTATGTGTATGTGTGAATTCGAACCACTAGCAAGTTCGCAAAAGCGCCCACGTGCGTTTATTTACACCACAGTTGTTGCGGAGCAGCAAAGTTTAATTGTGTTGTTGTTGCTGCCGGTGTTGCCAGTGTCAACGCGCTACGTGCACTGCTTTGTGGAGTGTAACATGTAATTCTTGCTTTCATATTTTGTTTGTGTTTTTCTATTCCTTTTTATCAAGCATTTTCTATTGTCCTATTCGATTGTTATTTTTGCCGGAAACACTGCTTGTTGTTCGTTATTTGCTGCGGGCGTTGATGTTGCTTTTTACTGCAGAAATGTTTCATTTTTTGTTTCGGGTATTCATGCCCCTGCAATTTTTTCACCCTTACGTGCGTAGTGTTATTGTGTGGCAATATTTGTTGTGTAATTTAATTCAATGTTTGCTCTCTCTTCCGTACACCACACTTTCAATTAAACAACAATTGATGTAGTTTTCATTTCCTGTGCACATGTAGTTGCCAGCTGGACATGGCCTGCTAACGCTCACTTCATTCTCTAAGTAACGTCAGTGAGGATATAGTTTTTACAGGGTTTTACGCTTCGCAGTTGCTTTGTTGATTTTTAATCTGAAACGGAAGCAAAGTGCGCCAATAAGTATTTATGAATTATGGCAGGATTTTCTATGCAACAAATTAAAGTAATATTTTCAAAATATTGGTGAAAATCTGAATGAGAAATTGCCAAAATATTTTTTAAACAATAATATTTAATCAAAAAGAACTTGCAAAATAAAAAACCGCATGTAATATTTTTTACAATTTTTATTATATATATGCATGCCAATCTAAATGGGCGCTGTGAGAGCTAAGTGAGTTCTGCACTGTCCAGTGTTCCGTTTTGTGGAATATGAAACAAGCCAAATGTAGCACTAATACATTTAAAATGGTCGGCTATGTTAGATATTCTTATATAAGCAACCTTTTATAGGATTAACAAATCGCTTGAATTTTATTTTTAATAAACATTTCCTTTTTAACACAATGGCAGGCTACCAATACTCTTCTGTTTCAAAGCATCTTTTAAATTCATGGTATAATAGTATAATACAGTGAAAATGTGTTATTTTTGAAGTTATTTGCATATTTGCTTTAGTTGTTAGATTTTCCACTTCCCGTTTAAAAGTTTTCTGTTTCACTTTAAAAAACTTATAATAAATAATAAAAATGAATATTTCCTTCAAAAAAGCATGTCGCAGAAAATAAATTCCATTAGCTATGTCACAATCATCCAATTTGTTATCGTATGAAATTATAGCACAATCATGTTACGTATACGCCACACACGCCCAATACTTTTATTTAACAGTTAAACATAATTATTGTACACATTATTCCACTACACACATTACAGTTTACATTAAAACAAAGAAAAAATGTCTCTTGAAAAACAAGCTATTTGCGGCACTCTGAGAGCAATAACTTAATTTGGCCAGCCATAAAAATATTTACGTATACTCTTACACTACTATACCATTATGCAGGGAAAGCTGTAAAAATTAATCAAGATTACGCGAAAAAAGCACAGACAAAAAGCCATTACACATAATGACTACATTAATACAATTATTGTCATTTCAGCCACAAATACAGATGTCAACTGTTTTGTGATTGGCGAGTGCCGGCGGCGAGATGAGAAATCCGAGAAATGAATGCGCACAATTTAAAAAATGGTAATGAAAATAATTTACACGCGCGGTAGTATCAACACATGCACGCACACATGTGTGGCGCTTGTGTGTGCTAAAGTAAACACAATAAATCAAATAGGGCAATAAGCAAACATTAAACAAGTGCATCATTAAAACATCAATTATCAAAGTAAACAAAAGTGTGTGCGTAAATAAATCGACACACAGGCGTGTTTTTGTTGTGCGGTTGTGTGCGCTGCTGTTGTAGCATTTAGCTCGTATTTTCTGTTGGCGGCGTACTCCACACAGCGACGTAGCAGCAACGGTGTATGTGTAAAGGTGGGTACACCAACAAAGAAAACACAACAGCAACCACAACAGTTAAAATTCGTATAAATAAAATAGCAAAAGCGCTGAAATACTTGATTGAGTGGCAGCCAAATGAAAAGTAAATATTAACGATTGAAATAAATCTGTGACGGCAGCGACGCAAGTGGCGGCAGCGCCATAAAACGCTTTAACATCTTTTGTATTAAATGCGTTGATAATTAATGAGTTTTGTGTGTGTAAAATCCAGCGTTCAATCGGCACAAACAAAAAGTGTTTAAATTGGAAAATAATATATATATATTTTTTAATCAAAACTTGGTAAAACAGAGAAATTTGTAGGCACTCTTAATTCTAAAATGACTGCAAAAACCATGTCCTAATTAAATTGTTTCTTTGCATATTTGTAATAGAAAATTTAAAATTTATTTTAAATTATTTAAAATGTGATGTCTGACCGCTTACCGCTTTGCTAGCTTAATCCTACCATAACATTGACCTATTAGCACAAGGATAACTTATGTAAGAAGCTGATTTAATTCTTAAGAAAAACTCACCAAAAACTATTTGGTATGCTACAATACAACACATTTGAATATGATTATAATATATAATTATATTAATTAGAACTGGAAACTATATATATCATAATTTTGGGTTGAGGTTAGGTAACTCTTGGATTAAAATGTTGCACACATTAAGAGACTGCTGATATGAGACTTACTTCACAGCCTAGACGCGGCTTATACATAAAATTTCGTTATCTTTATGAGCAAATTAATAGTGTATACCAATTATTATTTAGCCAACCCTCTCCAAATGAACAACCTTTTAAAAAAAAAAAATATTTTGTTAAATGTTTAAGGTTTTTTCATGTTGAGCTATTTAATGCGTTGCAAGGAGCAGTCCAAATTAAAATATACTTCTTTATAACATTCTTCCCCGTCCAAAAAATGTTCACTGATTATATGAACTTCCCAATTGTGCTACCAAAGTGGTAGGTAATTAATTAGATTTAAAATACAAATGCTTTCCACACTCATTATTTTTAGTCTGGCAACTATTAATTACAACCCTTTTTAAATGTCACGAACGGTCCTGAATAACTGAAACCTCAAAGGCATATTCCTACTACCTAACAACTTTTGCTTATTATATTACTAACTCTAACAGAGTCGTGCAAACACACATGCACATATACGTCAACAACTACTAGAATTTAATTTAAGGGACACACTTTATCTCCATACTTTACTTGTATTTTTCCAGTGACTAACATGTCGCCATTAAAATGAGAAAAGATTACAAGCGCATATCACAAAGACAGCACAAAGCACTAACTTTTGCTGTGTAATTGATGGAAAGTATGCAAAACAAAGAGCAGAATAAACTAACGTCCCAAACCATACCAACAAAAACCATGCATTCAGGAAATTTGTACACGTGTTGCTGGTTTCAGAGTAGTGGGCGGTCAAGCGGTCAGTTTGTGTAGGTGCCGGATACAGAGTGCCGACATGTGTGCAAACAAACGACGACCCACCGCCACCGCACCGCACTGCACGCCGCGCAAACAAACATCGAGAAGCGTCCACTAGTGTCGCTCATACGCCACGTCCACCCTTACTGCCCTTTGAGCATTCACTCACTCATTTACGCAAATGTCGTGACTGAATAGGGTGTGGCTGTTAACTGTGAAAGATATCTTTGAAGCTTTGAACATTAGTCACTGTCTGCAGATGGTTTAGTCGTTGATCTGCCCTATTAGAAGTATTAAAACCTGTTGCAGGAATATTCTTATATAATTTAAATTTTGAGTCTGCGTTCTTAATGAACGGACGAAAGTTCAGCTCAAATGAAGTAAATCGCCTTACGATATTATTTACAGACACATTGTAATTTTTAAAATAAAATTAAGTCAGTTCGTGTTATCGCGCCACCCTTTACAAAATTCCGAGTGTTTATGCACATGTAAGGTTTGTAAGTGGTAAAAGTATATATGTATGTCAGAATGTGTGTTTGTAAGTATAAAATTCTCTTGTATTTGCTTATTTAAATGGTGGAGTGACAAGTGGTTAGTATGGGTAAACTACTGGTAATGACATTGACAATATGGAAAGTGATAGGAAGTTGACTGAGATATGAAAGTACTGGTGACTTTTACCATTTTTGTAGAAATAATGACGTTTTTCCATTATTATTT